AGTAAACCCGTGTTCCTGTGGAAAGTGTACTGGCCACCCAGAGCCTGAACAAGAAGCACAGACAATTCCACAATCACAGCCTAAAGAGCCGGAATTCATCACTAATATCCGTACAGAGATAGTATCTATAACTTAAGGGGATGGCTCAATTAAAATTCAAGCCAGCTCTCAGCTCTCGGGTGGACGCACTCTTAGGCCTGTCTGGGCGGAACAGTGGTAAGACAGCCAACTATAAGGTTTAATTTTCCTCCTAAACTACAGAGTTATAACTGATATTAATTCAACCTGTTAACCAGGGAGCGTTCATTATCTTCATACATCTAGTGTGCCCAAATGTCTAACACTTGAGCCTGGAAATTAGTAGAATCTTGCTGACGCATAAGTGGGCGTGGTTAAATCTCAATGTGTTTGCGAAAACAATCAGACGCGTCCTGATACATCCTTACCAAAGCTCACTGGCTTCTTTCCTACCTCTGCTGGATGACTGTACTTCTTTGCTGTATCTTATCCCTAAGAGAATTCAGCCCAGGAACAGGAACCCATTATTGGCCCCTTGTATCCGCGTGATCTCGTTCTTTCGGTCATCCTTCATGACCATAATTGACGGTAGGTAACGCAAGCCGTAGTTCCAGAATACAGCTATATTCAACTAGAACTCCCTACAATCTTTCTCATCTGCTGATCTTCTTCTCTGGAGCCGTACCATCACCGAGACGCAGGTTGCCTCGTTGTCGACCATGCCGCGCAGGGAATAATGCACATCTTATTTTTTTACAGCGTTGACAACAGTCCTCGCTGCGCTTGTCAGCGTAAATACGAGCAGGATTCTCTCCAACGAATTGCGTTGGCGGGAGAACGGTATCCATCGATCATCCCGTGCAAACTGCTTATTCTGGTGCTGGCATACCTGGGCGGTCTCCTGTTCTCTTATTCGCCAGAAGTTGCTTCTTTATCAAAGCTCGCTGAACACAACGAGTATACTATAAGCCCAAATTAAGTTTTTTCAACTCTCTACCATCAATACTCAAGCTGGAAGTGTTCTCTGTTGGCGCGGAATAATTTGCTTAGAGTATTCAACCTTCGATTCAGTTCTACCATGTTCTCTCTCTGCACGTGTTCTTTCCCTGGCATACGGTCTACGGCCTTCGGTTTCAGTTGCTGCTATCGTCCTTTTAAGGAGGAGCAGCTTGGCGCGCATTGTTGTTGCCAGTCCTCGCTGACACCGCCAAGCGCATGAGGAGAGTAGTTTACGGCCCGTCCACACAGCGGCGTGCGTTGGAGCTCCGTGGGGCGTGTCTCTGAAACTCGACGCAAACAACCATCACATGAATCGCTATCCCCGCGCTGACACCACAAGCGCGGTTTGATTTGGTTAGAGCTCTTGTACTGGCAATATGATTCGATTGGCTGACGCTTCTGCCGAGGTTTCAAAAGTTGAACATTTGTTCAACTTTTTCAGCGAGCCACGCCAGAAGCACAGCTCCGCGTCGCTTCCCACGATGCAGCTTCGGCGAAAAGGGACGTCACCCCAGTTCAAGGAATGGTGAAGCTTTCAACGCAACGCCGCTGTGGTGGACGGGCTGGTTACTGTGTCAGGGACGTATAGGTTCCCTGGCGCACAGTCTTTCCTATGGACGAGAGCTCCTCGGTTAGATTTCAGGGTCCATAATGTCCTCACTGATAAAGAATGTTGATTTATAATGGTGCATTCACACTGCAGGCCTCGCTCGGTTTGGTTAGGCCCATTATTAGGCCGGCTCACTTTTAACTGCTGCGCTCACATTCACAGGTTTAGGACTGGGGGTAGTTAGCTAATAGTAACCAGTGTAGGGCGGGGCGATCGGGCCTTTTTGGCGGGCGGAGCGACGCTGCATACACTGGCCGTGACGTCATCTTTCAATGCGACACAACACACCTCACAAAACGAACACAACAACAATGGAGGACGTGGAAGGCCATCGTGTCCTTGCGTTCTTTGGTATGTGTTTTTTTCTTCTTAGGTTCACTGTTTTCAAAAAATGCTGCAAGCGTCTCTTAATACATGCGACACTAGGGATTAAGTCGCGCGAGAATTCGTGACGATTCTCCTCCGACCAATCAGCAGTCGTCCACTAGTTTAGCATATTGCCGCCCGGTTTGTTGGCCCTAGCTGTTGGGCCTCGATAGGAACCCACGATTTAGTCGGGCCAGAAAAAAGGTGAAAAAGTAGCCCGCGGGCCCAAAACTAGGCACGCAAGTGGAAGCGCAACCAAAATACCGGCGCCGACGCCGCGACGGCTCCGGCACGCTTGTGAATGCGCCATTACATCTCCAAACTAGTAAACACTCCGAGCTACAGAAAGAGTTCTTCAGAATTGGTTTGGCAACTGCTGTGTCAACTCGCGACACCCCACCTGTCTTTGTCTACTTCCGGCCCGTAAACTCCAAATAAAACCGCCAGTGTTTGCCATCCAAAGCTCCAGCTCTCCTTCGGATCTCTCTGAGTCCTCGTGACTCTCCACTTGGCTCTCAGAAGTTTCACCCACATTCTCCAGTTTTAACGTTTTAGGAAAATCACTACATTTTCCATCAAGGGTGCAAAATCAAGGGTTAGGGTTAAACATAGCTTTTTTATTTGATATCTTAGCTCTTGCAGTAAACTGGGAAGATATTTACATTTGAGGTAGGCCTAACACATGTCTTCTTTCAAACCTAAAAATAAAAGGGTTTTTCCTTAAAGATGTAATAGGATTTAAGATGAGGGAGAACTGTTATGCTTTTAAGTGAGCGTCTTCCTGTCTCTTCTGGCCAGTTCCTGCTTTAGCAGGTAATAACATTTTACAATGCATTTACTAAAAACATGCAAAGCCTTTCATAGGAAGCGAGGTGGAGAGAGAACAACTAGTTGTTCAGCTGTGAGTGCATGAAAGTAGAATCGTCTATGTCTCCTGCATCAGAACATTGGATTTCTATTTCAAACATTGAGTATAAGAGAGTGACGTACATGTAAGGCAGTTTTGGGGGTTAATTACATGATTTTTAAGTCAAAGATTAAGCTAGAATATGCCTTTTATCCTCATTTGTAGCGATCTGTACCAACAAATGTGGATTCAAACACCCCCACACTTTAACCTTAACAACTGTTGTTTCAATCATGTGTTTGGAGGCGAGTGTTTTAAGAGAAAAACCATTGGAAAACATTCCAGACTGGAGGTGAAGCAGGGGCAGAAGCAGTAACAAGGCTTGTTCTGTTCTCCACATTGTTTCCATTCTCCAATGTGGAGCAGCAGCCCAGCCCTTTGGGCCACATCCAGAAGAAGAAACGCCAACCCAGAACATGTCATCCGAGAGTGGAGGAGGGAGGAGCGAAGGAGGAGGAGGAGCCAGGAGGGCGGCCAGGCAGGCTAGGAGGAGGCAGGAGGACGGAAGAGAGGAACCAGAAACACTGCGGTGGTAGCCTTTCCATGTCTGTCAGTTCAGCAGGCAGATGGAAAGAGTCGGGCTGGTTGCAACCACATTGTTTTTTAATGTGCCATCGAGGAAGGAAAGGGGGTTGGAGGACGTTGACTGAACATTTTATCGCCAGCCAACACCCCACCTTTATATTTCATTAGTTACAACACACCCACCACTGAGTCCAAACACTGGCATACCTCATCTGAAGGGTGCCAAACCTAGAAAACTAACATCATCAAGGCTCGCAGATTTCACACGTGATTTGTGTTCTGCGCAGTTTAGCATTAGCAATGTAAAGTGATGCAGCGTTTTCGCCGACCAGGGCTGAGAGGCGCGTCCACCCGAGAGCGGGAGAGCGGGAGGGGGGGGGGTGACATCACGTTGTGTCATGTGACTTGAATTTTGAATTGAGCCGACCCTTTATAGATACTATCTCTTTACGTATTAGTGATGATGGGAATTCCGGCCCTTTTTAGTAAGCCGGATCATTTGGCTCGCCCCACTAAGTAGAGCCGGCTGTTTCAGCTCCCAAACGGCTCTTCATGTCTCCACAGTTTACCACGGAGCCTCAGTTGCGCCGCTGCGAGACTCCGGAGCTCACAGTTCACACGCGTGCTCCACTAGCACCCCCCAGTCAAGGCTCGCCGGCAGTACACTTTCCGTCACAGGAAAACACTTTGCTGGCGGCGAAAATAATCCCACCAGACTCCTTTGCCCCTCCAACAGAGGGATGTCCTTGTCGTCATTTCAAGCAATAAAAACTCTCGAACTTCTCTCGAATTATTATTTTTTTTGGACGCCCTCGGCTCGAGTTCATGGCGTTCCGAGCTGAATAAGGGAGTCAAATGACGGCAAGACGCCCCCCTGGCGGAAACGCTGGTGCCAAACCTATAAACTAGCATCATCACACACACAGATTTCACACTGCTTTGTTCTGCAGTTTATATTACTGTAGATTAAATTATATGTATTTAGCTGATGCTTGTATCTAAAAAGGGACTTACAATTCAACACATACAGAAACAAACGATTAAAAAAAGCAAAAATGTAATTTCTGGAGTACATTTGCTTTAAATAAGTCATCAGTCAAATCTTTCTAAATGCTATGTACATGATTTAGAATTATTTTATTGTATTATTTTATTAAAAATGGTAGTATTTATTTTTATATATTATTATATTATCATTTTCTTATTTTGTATTATTTAATTATTGTTATTAGTATTTTTCATATATTTATTTTTTATTTGCAAAGGTGCTGATATTTACAATTGTTTGAACTTTACTCAAAAGGTCAATTTAATAGATTTTTCTGAGCTTTCTTATAGATTTCATCTCATCAAAGAATGGAACTTGTTCTTGTGTTAAAACTAAAAGCTTAGAAAAAGCCAAATAAACACAATAGATCAATGAAGTACTTATCCTATTCTTTAAATGGTGAATTAGTTGATCACCTAATGTTTAAATTATGTATTTGGCTTAACTGTTAATTATCAAGAAAGCATACTAAACATACTTTGGGAAACTTGGATTATTTAAGGCTGTTTTCTAACGAGTTGACATCATCACTTTAATCTCTAGATTAGTTGATGTATCTTTAATAATAACGACTTATTGGTGTTAATATTGTAATCAATGAAGCAGCCATTGATCAGTGTTTTGACCACCAACCAGCGTTTCCGCCAGGAGGGCGTCTTGCCGTCATTTGACGCCCTTATTCAGCTCGGGACGCCCTGAACTCGAGCTGAGGGCGTCCAAAAATATTAATAATTTGAGAGAAGATCGAGAGTTTTTATCGCTTGAAATAACGAAAAGGAAAAAGGAGAGCACCATAGCCTCGCAGCGGCAAAACTGAGGCTCCGTGGTAAACTTTGTTAACATGAAGAGCCATTTGGGAGCCGAAAGAGCCGGCGCTTTAAGAGAGCCGAGCCAAAAAATCCGGCTCACTAACGTAAAAAGACAGTATAACGGCCCGTCCACACTACAGCTTCAAAAAAAGCTTGGAGCTGGGCGTGTCTGAAGCTTGGGGATTTTATTCGAGCACCGCGACCAACAACCAATCACATGAATGTCCCGCCCCCGGCATACAAAGCAAAAAAACCCGGGGATTTTATGCGAGCAATATACAGGACTGTCTCAGAAAATTAGAATATTGTGATAAAGTTCTTTATTTTCTGTAATGCAATTAAAAAAACAAAAATGTCATACATTCTGGATTCATTACAAATCAACTGAAATATTGCAAGCCTTTTATTATTTTAATATTGCTGATTATGGCATACAGCTTAAGAAAACTCAAATATC